GTATTTGGCGGCAGGTCAGGCTGCGTCGTGTCTGCATACAATGTCTATATTGCAGGCATACCAGGCTGATTTGCTAAAGGACGTGAGCGTGAGTGAGGAGGCAGTACTGACGTGGTTCGAGGACTGCGTCAGGCTGCCGATTTGTGGTAAAATTATTTTTTCCAACATGAAACAGAAAGAGAAAGCTTTCTTTTAGATGATCCTCTCTCCCCTGCGGGTTTATTCAGTGACTTAGTTAATACTGTCATTGATAATTTCAGGAAGAAAAGAAGCAGGCAGCAGCTTTTAAAAGGTTTCTTCCATTAAAAGTTCACGTCCACGGGGCTGCTGGGCGGGAGCAGCCCCGGCCGTTCACGAGCTCATCGCATAGGCGCAGCAAAGCAGAGTATCGCGTCTCGCGCTCCCCCTGCTGGACAGTGGGACCAGACGCGGCACTCTCAGCCAAAGCTTTTTGAAAAATAAATATAATATAATATATATATAAAATATATATATATAAAAAAAAAAAAAAAAAAAGCAATAGAACTGGTTTGAGGACAGTTATATTGGCTATGCTGAGGGCGGTCCCCACCGAAGGAGAAAGGTGTTCACCTCTTTTTACGGTGCCCATTCTTCCTCGGTGCCCTCAGGGGCCCGTTCTGCCAACCCCGCCTTCATGCCGGGGCGCAGACGGTCCTGGCGAGCGCTTTCCCGAGGGACGCTCGCCGCCTCTGACACTGAGGGTGGTCCCCATCGAGGGAGAAAGGTGTTCACCTCTTTTTACGGTGCCCATTCTTCCTCGGTGCCCTCAGGGGCCCGTTCTGCCAACCCCGCCTTCATGCCGGGGCGCAGACGGTCCTGGCGAGCGCTTTCCCGAGGGACGCTCGCTGCCTCTGACACTGAGGGTGGTCCCCATCGAGGGAGAAAGGTGTTCACCTCTTTTTACGGTGCCCATTCTTCCTCGGTGCCCTCAGGGGCCCGTTCTGCCAACCCCGCCTTCATGCCGGGGCGTAGACGGTCCCAGCGAGTGCTTTCCCGAGGGACGCTCGCTCCCTCTGAGGAGGGTCTCAGAGCGGTCAAACCAGTTGTTCCCTGCCGGTGCGCCGTTACAGGGCGCTGTGTTTGCTGCTCAAATTACACCAGAGACCAGTCTCGAGAGACTGGTACCCTTAGTAGAATTTGTTTGGCAGAGTGGAAAAGCCTTCCAATAATATCTCAGTGGGTCCTGCAGACAGTAGTAAGAGGTTATGCGATCCAATTTAGGTGTCGTCCACCGAAACTCAGAGGGGTTCTGCCCATAGTGTGGGCCCCGAGCAGGCTCTGGTAATGGAACAAGAGGTGAAAATGCTCCTTCAAAAGGGGGCTATAGAACGGGTTCCTCCTCCCAGTTTGGAGCTAGGTTATTACAACCGATATTTCATCGTTCCAAAGTAGGATGGGGGGTTGCGTCCAATTTTAGATTTGCGCCTATAAAATCGCTCGGTAGGGAAGCTCAATTCAGATGCTCACTATCAAGCAGGTCGTGTCACAAATCAGGTCCGAGGGCTGGTTTGTCACGATAGATCTAAAGGACGCTTACTTCCACATTTCCGTACTTCCACAACACAGGAAGTTCCTGAGGTTTGCCTTCGGGGGCGAGGCATTCCAATATAGGGTTCTTCCGTTCGGTCTAGCTATCTCCCCGTACTTTATGGAGCAGATGGCGGTTCGACATCGAGATGTCGTCTTCGCGCATATCAGGAAGTTGGGGTTGAGGCTGAAGGCGAAGAAAAGTGTTTATCTCCTTCCCTGGAGACCACTTTTCTGGGCGTTGTTTGGGATTAGGTCACCCGCATCGCTTCGATTCTTCAGCCTTGAAACAGTAAAGCTAGGCCAGCTACTCACTGTAAAGCAGTTTCAGAAACTGTTGGGTTTGATGGCAGCAGTGTCCAACGTTATACCTTGGCCTGTTGTACATGAGACCGCTGCGGTGGTGGCCCAGGACCAAGGGATTCTCCCCGAGGGGAAGTCCACTCCGCACGATCAAAGTCACGCGGCGCTGCCTTCGTGCTCTGGTCTTGTGGAAAGAAACTTGGTTCCTATCCAAAGATCCTGTGCTGGGGGCTCTTTGTCGTCGCGTAAAGCTAACGATGGATGCTTCCCTCACAGGGTGGGGGGCGGTCATGAGTGGTCGTCCAGCCCAAGGTCTGTGGCAGGACCATCATCTATCACGGCATATAAATTGTCTAGAGATGTTGGCAGTGTTTCAGGCTCTGAAACACTTCCTAGCAGACCTGAGAGGTCATCATGTGCTAGTTCAGTCAGACAACACGTCGGTGGTCTCTTATTTAAATCGTCAGGGGGGCCTGCGCTCTCGCCGGCTTTACAAGTTGGCCCGTCAGGTCCTCCTGTGGTCCCTAGGGAAGTTACTATCACTGAGAGCAATGTATCTTCCTGGGTATTTGAATGTGGTAGCGGACTCTCTGTCGAGGCAGGGGCCGAGGCCGGGGGAATGGAGACTCCACCCCCGAGGTGGTGGAGCTCCTTTGGTTGAGTTTCGGTCGCGCCGAGGCGGACCTATTCGCTTCCAAGGAGATATCGCACTGTCGTCTGTGGTTCTCCATCATTCATCCAGCCCCTCTGGGGTTGGACGCTATGTGCAGCCGTGGCCGAGGTCACGTCTGTACGCTTTTCCCCCGATTGCTCTGCTACCAGGAGTTCTGGAGAGGGTTCGCCGGGACGGGGTCAGCCTACTATTAGTAGCCCCGTTCTGGCCGGCCCGAGTATGGTTTGCGGACCTGGTTTCTCTCCTGGACGGCTCTCCTTTGGAGCTCCCGGTCAGGAGGGATCTACTCTCTCAGGCGGGCGGCATGATATTTCACCCCCGCCCAGAGTTATGGAAACTGTGGGCTTGGCCTCTGAGGGGGCCCAGCTCTTAGATTCCGGTCTCTCAACCGAGGTTGTTGAGACCATCCTTCACTCCAGAGCTCCATCCACGAGGAAGCTATATGCCTTTGAAGTGAAAACTTTTCACTTCTTGGTATGGAGAACACCTGTAGGACCCAGTTAACTGCCCAGTGGGTGCAGTGCTGGAATTCCTGCAGGAGCGTTTCTCCACAGGGTTATCCCCCTCCACACTAAAGGTGTATGTGGCGGCACTGGCTGCTTACCACGTCCCTTTCAGTGGAGTTTCTCTTGGGAGACACCCGCTTATAACTCGTTTCCTTCGTGGCACTTTGAGGCTGAGGCCAGCAGTTCGTGCCTGGAATTTTCGCCTGGTATGGTTAAGGCTTTTCTATACCCTAGGCCAGGTTATGTTCCTAAGGTCCCTACTAATGTTGTTAGACCTACAGTTCTGCAGGCTTTCTGTCCTCCTCCATTTCTGTCGTCAGACCAGGAGAAACTTAATTTGCTCTGCCCAGTGAGGGCGTTAGACGCTTATGTCCACAGAGCTGCCCTGTGGAGGAAATCAGAACATTTATTTGTATGTTTCGGGCCACCCAGGAAAGGGTGTCCTGCGTCTAATTAGAGAATGAGCAAGTGGGTGGTCGAGGCTATCTCACTTGCTTATGAGTCGGCTGGTCAGCCTTCACCTTTGGCTGTACGAGCCCGCTCTACTAGGAGTATGGCTGCATCCAAAGCTTTATTGTCAGGAGTTTCCCTGAGTGAGGTTTGTGATGCGACTGGATGGTCTTCACTGTGCAGGTGCTCTCGTCCGCTGTGCGCTAGATCTCACATGACGGTCACTTGCTCCTATGGCGACGTGGGTATTCGCGTTCCCACAGCGTTTGACGCAGCTCGAAGTTCCCTTGAAAGGGAACGTCTCGGTTACGTATGTAACCCTAGTTCCCTGATAGGGAACGAGACGCTGCGTCGTTCTGCCATACTCCCGGCATTCCCGTTAAGCGCTCCTTCAGGCCTATCAGAAGCTGATGCGCTTGGGTTTTTGGGGTGCTTTATAGTTTCCTGGTCGATGACGTCACCCGCCTATGACGTTCCGTCTCTCCATTGGGCTGATTCCATACGTGCTTCATGACGCACAACGCAGGGGCGTTCCCACAGCGTTTGACGCAGCGTCTCGTTCCCTATCAGGGAACTAGGGTTACATACGTAACCGAGACGTTTCTGGAACTTTTGTATATGAAAAAAAAAAACAATGAATTTCTAAAGGATTTTTTTTTTCACACACTGAACTTGACATCTCTTCTCTGATAATTGTTGCTGATGTCTTTGACACATTCAATACCAATAATTCATGTTTGCTGACACACAGACACTTAGCAAACATGTGACAAGCTGTTGGTTTGAGTTTCCAGAACTGAAGGCTGTGGTTTCACTCTGAATAATACAGTGCAGCAGAGTTACTGATGAACAACATTAAAATGTTCACCCTTTGTTCAGATGTCCAGTTCCTGTGTTTACACACTGCTGTAGCTCTTCCCAAGAAAATGACATGGAGATACTTCAGTACCTTCATCTCCAATCCTGTTCCCAGAGATCGACCTTCCAGCTTCAACCCTGATCAAACACAGCTGAACCAGCTAATGGAGATCTTCAGGAGCACTTGATCATTACAGACGCGTGTTTGATCAGGGTTGGATCTGAAATCTGCAGATCTCCGGGAACAGGATTGAGCACTCCTGATCTACATCTACAACATGATCTATAACAGGGTTTCCCCGAACGGTAGGAAATGAGAATATGAATGTACCAGAACAGGACAAAAACATCTGAACATTAACTGATGTTTCAAATGAACCAATTACATTATACATATACATAATCACAAACGTGACCAGTGCATTTGCAGAACAGCACCATAAATCGAAACACTTTTAACAGCAGAGACTGACGTAATACTAACTGCAGCTCATTTGTGTAAATATTGTGTAAAGAATGAAGTCAGTAATGATACTTCATCTTAATTTAATAACAAACACGTCTGTTATGAGTTTTCCATGTGAACGTCAGTGATTACAGTCAGTGTTGAGTATCGTGATGTTGTGGAGATCTTCATGAGTTTGAGGATCTCAGTTTCTCACCTGTTAAAACCTTCAGATTCACTTCAGTGTGGGGATCTTTTTCTTTAGGGATATCAACTCCACAGTAGTACGTCCCAGAATCCTCTTCTCTCAGATCTCTGATGGTCACAGTGAAGACTGCTGATCTTGTGTTGTCATACAGAGAGAATCTTCCATTATTAAACCATCTATCTTTAATATCAGTCTTGATTTGGTCTGTACAGTCTGGCCACTGTCCTTTACAAAAATACTTTGTGTTCTCTGTATATCCTTCATCATATTTGCATGTGATGTTGACTTCTCCTCCTGAATATCCTGTTACACTCATGGAGCTCACGACACCTACAACACACCAGCATTAAATACAAAACTAATATATTCATAAGACAGAACAGAACATCTATTTTCATTCCATGATGTACTTTGAGTTCAGACTCTTACCAGGAATCATCATCAGAGTGAAAGTCCAGATGATCTTCATTCTTCTCTCTTATTAAATGATCTTCTCTGTTGTTAGTAGATTCAGTTCTTCTGAAGCTCTCGGTGTGTGTTCAGATGAGTTTTGAGTGTTTCTTTCCTGGTTACATGTTTAACATGAAGAGCTGAATGTGTCGAGACGCCCACTTCCACTGAGAGAGAGAGAGAGAGAGAGAGAGAGAGAGAGAGAGAGAGAGAGAGAGAGAGAGAGAGAGAGAGAGAGAGAGAGAGAGAGAGAGAGAGAGAGAGAGAGAGAGAGAGAGAGAGAGAGAGAGAGAGAGAGAGAGAGAGAGAGAGAGAGAGAGAGAGAGAGAGAGAGAGAGAGAGAGAGAGAGAGGAGAGAGAGAGAGAGAGAGAGATTAATAAAGAGGGAAGTGAAAGTAAGACACTGGACACTGACATCTGATGAACACACAAACAGGAGCGGTTCACATGGTCTCCTAAAAATGCATGTTTCTGATTGATTAATGATATCACTAGTGAGAATATCAATTAGACTTTAGGATTGGACTTTTAATAATCATCCAAACATCATTAACATGGAGACACATTTAAGACTCAACACACATCATTTATGTCTTTAAGTTAAATGTAATACTATCAAATATGATTTAAATGAATTCACAATCATAAAACTCACCGTCTGTTGAGTTTTCCAGCGTATCTTTGTTTGAATGACTGTTTTAGTGTCTCCTTCAGTGAATCTGATCTCCACAGGGACACATATGAAACACATCAGATAAAACCTGCTGGAAAACACAAACCATGAGACACTCTGTTCACTGAATCTGAAGTGTGAAAGTCTCGAGGATTGAGACTCAAGCGTGTCCGTCTAGTGTTGATCTGAACTCAGAAGAGACTCGCTGCTCATGTTCAGAGCTGAACTGACCGATAGACATGTGACACATGCTTTTATATTGAGAGCAATAACTGTAAAGAGGTTTTAACATTGAATAGCATTCCAATCTAATCCAGGGCTGTACAGATACTGAGTCACTCGTGACGCTTCAGTTTGAAAAATAATGTGAAGTAAGACGAAAGAATCTAAACATGTAATATTCGCCAACTGTATAACAATAGTAATGGTAAACGTCCAACAATAACATCCAGTGATTCAAGTTACTCTATATTTTTGCCACAATTCTGCATTTTCAATTGGTGATATGCATGACTATATGTGTGTGATTCATATATTTCATTGAATGTGACAAAACAAGAAACGGAATATTCAAAATCAATTTTAAAATAAATACAATACATTATTTTACTGTTCTTCTTTCTTTTTCTTTATGCCCTTTACATCCATTTAAATAGTATTCATAATTATTTAAATTAATTCAAAAAATTAATTATTTAATTCCTTTAAATAAAAAGGACAATTACTGTTCTCAGTTGGTTTTGTGGCGTATTGACAGTAGCATATTGGGCATAGCGTATTGGGGTTTCAGTCAGGGCCGATCCCTAACCAATGACACCCCTAACCACACCACACACACGGATACAAAAATACAATCACAATGCACTACTGCGTACTCACCAACAATACAGTTGATCTTCAACCACAGCGCACACACACCTCACACTGTGCATTATAACAGCTATAGGCACATCAACACAGCATCACCATCTACAGCCCAAACTCCAGCAATACCAATCAGATACAAAAATGCTTTATAAAATACCACAATAACTTCATCTCTCCTAAACAGTAAGACGTAACACTCACCCATTACTTGTAAATGAAATCCACCCTCCGATCCTTTCGGATGAAACGTTCAATGACCTCCTCGTGCAGTTGTGTGTCCTGCTTAAGATGAATGAGCAGCTCCTTCTCTATGGCAATAGATGCCAGTGCAGAGAGATGTGTTTGTGCGGATGTATTCCTTGTATACGCTTTGATGCGCTTGAGAGCTGAGAGATTGCTCAGCTGATGCGGTGGACACTGGAATGGTCACGATCAAGCATGTGAGGGCATAAAGCTGTGACACGCTGACTGCAAGCCCCGTGCTCCTCAGAAATGTCAGTAGGTCACTTGGACTCTTTCCCTGAAAGCTCGTCATGCTGTACATCACTTTGAGCTCAGCTCTGAGTCTGCCCAGGTCAAACTGTGCGCCGTAGCTCTCATCCAGGCTCCTGAGCTCTGCTTCGGGAAATGTCTGCTTGAACTCTACAAACAGCTGTGCATCCAGCAATGCAACAAACAGTAGCCGCTTGTGATCCTCAAATCAATTTCTGATTTGTGTGATGATGCTGTTGATCAGCGCTGTGTGTAGCTGTGTGTAGTGCGCGCGCACGTCTGTTCGGGCTCGACCTGCGCTCAGCTGTCCCGCGGCCTCCGCTGTCCTCTCATAGATGGCATCGGGACAGCCGAGCGCAGGTCGAGCCCGAACAGACGTGCGCGCGCACTACACACAGCTAATCTCATAGATGGCATCAAATTTTCCACGTTCAGCTTCAAGAATCCGGCAAAAATCTGCAATTCTGGCCAGACTGAATTGCACATCTTCCAGTATTCCGGAGAGCATATCAGCGAAATCCAAAATGTCGATGAAAGCAAAAAGAAAAAAAACAGAAGTCAAAGCTTTTCAATTGTGACAAGTGTCCTGATGCACTACCGTTTCACGGTCAAAATCCTCCGCGTTATCGAGGATGTGCTGGAAAAGCTTGACCAGCTCAGCTCTTTTGTCATGGACCGTGCCCACCAACCTGGAGTTAAAGATCCATCTCACCTGAGAGACCCGTGGCAGCCGCCGCTCGCAAAACCCATCCAGCAGTTTTGTCCAATCCAGACAATCCTCCCAGATGCGCAAAAAAAATCTTGCAATCCTTCATTTTAAAGATTTAATGTGTGTGCATAACAGTGCACAAAAAGAGCCTGAGGAACGTCTTCTTTTACGCGCGCCTGTATTAAGTCCGGATGCCATTACAGCGGCTCCGTCATAACACTGTGCCACTAACTTTGTTTTGCAATCATAGATGCCCAACACTTCAAGTCCTGAAACTGCTAGATCATGAGCTTGTTTTTTTCCTGTGACATCTTCAAACTTTAAAAATCTTTCTTTTACTCTTTAACATACCGGAGTACAAATGGCAGCTGTGCAGTGTTGCTGCAATCGGTGGTCTCATCCACCATAACTGCGACACACTTGGTGTTGGTAATCTCTATTTTGATGGAATCGTTTAGCACCTCAGCAACAGCATTTATGAGATCGTTCTGAAATTTCCCTGATGTTCCCATAAAAGCGGTGACCGTGGCAAGGTGGTGTCGCAAGTCAGCATCGTATTCTGATAGCAGAGACAGTAACTCCAAGTAATTACCTCGATTAATCGACTCATTCCCCTCGTCATGTCCCCTGAAAGACAATTCTTGCTGTCCCAAAAAGATGACACAATCAATGAGGCGCTTCAGTATGTCCCGGTGTTTCTTCACTCTCTCATTGTGCAGGCTTGTCTCTCGTCTCCGCTGGTCATCCAGCTGCAAATCCACCCTGGACTCACCAAAGGTCTTCAAATGTACCACCGCTGTAAGGAGACGCTCGGATGCCTGGTGTTTGATAGCTGCCTTGGTGAAGCTATTAAGGCTGTTAAAACCCGTGCTGTTCCAAGAACACAAAAACATGCAACATCTTTCCTGTGTAAATACTGTGACTTTAGTGGTGATGTGAGATCCACACCGGTATTTCCCAGAATCCTCTTCTCTCAGATCAGAGATGTTTACAGTAAAGACTCCAGTAGTAAAATATACATTAGGAATCTCAATCAACCGGCAAGCAGATTCAATGCAAACGATTAAAAGAAAACAATTCAAAGTAAAAGGTTAACATAAAGTCATGTGAAAATGTTTAAAATGTAAGATATACCAGCCCGTTCTCATCCTTTGGCGTCATACATGTGACGCTTTGTACATTTCGTTGAAATCTTACGCACATGGCATCCTTTAGCATCAATATGAGACGCAGAACCCAAGGCGTCATAACCGTACCCGACCCCAGACCTAAACCTAGCCATAACAGTGTGTGTTATAGTGACGCTAAAGGATGCCATGTGCGTAAGATTTCGACGAAATGTCATATGGCGTCACCTATATGACGCCAAAGGATGAGAATGCGTTGGATATACATACAACCACAATGATTGATACATCAGGAAGTTTACATGTTGAGGTACAGAGGCTCAGACCCGTGTGTTATACGAAGGAAATGCTTTCTAATCTGAACATCTACAGTGTTTCTCCTCAGATCACCAGAGGATCATCAGCTAAAGTCTGAGTGAGTGATGCTTCTGTCACTTTAACAGGCAGTTCTGGATTCAGCATCACTGACAGCAGCTGTCAATCAAACTCCAGCATCACTGACAGCAGCTGTCAATCAAACTCCAGCATCACTGACAGCAGCTGTCAATCAAACTCCAGCATCACTGACAGCAGCTGTCAATCAAACTCCAGCATCACTGACAGCAGCTGTCAATCAAACTCCAGCATCACTGACAGCAGCTGTCAATCAAACTCCAGCATCACTGACAGTAGCTGTCAATCAAACTCCAGCATCACTGACAGCAGCTGTCAATCAAACTCCAGCATCACTGACAGCAGCTGTCAATCAAACTCCAGCATCACTGACAGCAGCTGTCAATCAAACTCCAGCATCACTGACAGCAGCTGTCAATCAAACTCCAGCATCACTGACAGTAGCTGTCAATCAAACTCCAGCATCACTGACAGCAGCTGTCAATCAAACTCCAGCATCACTGACAGCAGCTGTCAATCAAACTCCAGCATCACTGACAGTAGCTGTCAATCAAACTCCAGCATCACTGACAGCAGCTGTCAATCAAACTCCAGCATCACTGACAGCAGCTGTCAATCAAACTCCAGCATCACTGACAGCAGCTGTCAATCAAACTCCAGCATCACGGACAGCAGCTGTCAATCAAACTCCAGCATCACGGACAGCAGCTGTCAATCAAACTCCAGCATCACTGACAGCAGCTGTCAATCAAACTCCAGCATCACTGACAGCAGCTGTCAATCAAACTCCAGCATCACGGACAGCAGCTGTCAATCAAACTCCAGCATCACGGACAGCAGCTGTCAATCAAACTTCAGCATCACGGACAGCAGCTGTCAATCAA